AATGAATAATAGAATTGATGCCTTTGAATTGTGGTGTTGGAGAAGAGTGCTGATATCCCATGGACTGCCAGTAGAACAAACAGATGATACATCTTAGAGAAGGTGCAGCCAGAGTGCTCCTTAAAGGGAAAGGTGATAAAGCTTTGTCTCACATACTTTGGGCATGTTGCTAAGAGAGGCTATTCCTTAGAGAGGGACATCATGCTTAGAAAAGTGAATGGTCACCTTTTCCTTGGCAAGATGGCGGAGTACCACCTGACTACTCGCATCACGCACTTTTTGGATCGGCATCTGGTCTTTCCGCTGCTGGAGTTTCTCTCGGTGAAGAAGATATATAATGAAAAGGAATTATTACAAGGGAAATTGGATCTTCTTAGTGATACCAACATGGTAGACTTTGCTATGGATGTATACAAAAACCTTTATTCCAATGATATTCCTCATGCTTTGAGAGAAAAAAAGAACCACAGTTGTTGCACAGTTAAAACAACTGCAGGCAGAGACAGAACCAATAGTGAAGATGTTTGAAGATCCAGAAACTACAAGACAAATGCAGTCAACCAGGGATGGTCGGATGCTATTTGACTACCTGGCAGACAAGCATGGTTTTAGGCAAGAATATTTAGATACTCTCTACAGATATGCAAAGTTCCAGTATGAATGTGGGAATTACTCAGGAGCAGCAGAATACCTGTACTTTTTTAGAGTGCTGGTTCCAGCAACAGATAAAAATGCTTTGAGTTCACTTTGGGGAAAACTGGCCTCTGAAATCTTAATGCAGAATTGGGATGCAGCCATGGAAGACCTTACACGATTAAAAGAGACAATAGATAATAACTCTGTGAGTTCTCCACTCCAGTCTCTTCAGCAGCAAACATGGCTCATTCACTGGTCTCTGTTTGTTTTCTTCAACCACCCCAAAGGCCGAGATAACATTATTGACCTCTTTCTTTACCAGCCACAGTATCTTAATGCAATTCAGACAATGTGTCCACATATTCTCCGCTATTTGACTACAGCAGTCATAACAAACAAAGATGTTTGAAAACGCCTGCAGGTGTTCAAAGACCTCGTCAAGGTTATTCAGCAGGAATCCTACACATACAAAGACCCAATTACAGAGTTTGTTGAATGCTTATATGTTAACTTTGACTTTGATGGAGCTCAGAAAAAAACTAAGAGAATGTGAATCAGTGCTTGTGAATGACTTTTTCTTGGTGTCTTGTCTTGAGGATTTCATTGAAAATGCTCGTCTCTTCATATTTGAAACATTCTGTCGCATTCATCAGTGTATCAGCATTAACATGTTGGCAGATAAACTGAACATGACCCCAGAAGAAGCTGAAAGGTGGATTGTAAATTTGATTAGAAATGCAAGACTGGATGCCAAGATTGATTCAAAATTAGGTCATGTGGTTATGGGTAACAATGCAGTCTCACCTTATCAGCAAGTGATTGAAAAGACCAAAAGCCTTTCCTTTAGAAGCCAGATGTTGGCCATGAATATTGAAAAGAAACTTAATCAGAACAGTAGGTCAGAGGCTCCCAACTGGGCAACTCAAGACTCTGGCTTCTACTGAAGAATTTTTAAAGAAAAAAGAAGAGAAAACTAATAAAACCATTATGGAAAAATATGGCATACATTTTAGAAATAACAGGTGAGTATAAATTTTGTAAAATTTGAATAAAATTGGCTATATTTCAAAAAAAAAGTGGATGGTCAGTGAAAAAGAGGAAGACCCTCAACCAAGTGGATTGATACAATGACTGTAGCAATTAGCTCGAGTGTGTCAGAGATTGTGGGGATGGCACAGGATAGGACAGGGTTCAGATCTGTCGTTCATAGGGTCACTGTGAGTCATACTCAAGTCAGTCATCAACACCCAGAAACAACAACATGCCGGCAATGAGAAATTGAATAGAATTGGTGTTGCATTCATCATCTAAAAGAGCGTTTCAAGATCCATCCTGAACAACAAGTGACAGGATAATATTCATACACATACAAGGAAAACTGGTAAACAAAACTATTGTTCAAGTATATGCATCAATCACTGAAGCTAAAGTTAGTAAGTTGGGGATTTCTATCAACTTCTATTGTCTGAAGTTGAATGAACATGAAACCAAGATGTATTGCTATCCAAATCCAGCAGATGCGCCTCAGAAGACAGATGTGCTTGCTATGTACAGTCTCAGAAAATCCACTGAGGGGTCACCCAGCAATGAGTCAGTTGCAACTCAACAGCAATGAGCTGAGTTTATTAATAGCCTGTACCTTGCCAAGATTCCTTACCATCCTAAGCTCCTCTTCCAAGCTAACTGCTAACCTCGACTGTTTTGTTAGAAATATAGTTTTAATGTACATTTTTCCCACTGTTATTTGTTCAAACAATACATTATGTTATATTGTTCATTTCTGAGTTCTTTAAAAGTAGATTCATACAAGATGAACAATAAGACAGAAGGAAACTGACACTCTGAGTGCCCATGTGGGCAGGACTTATTCCTAGATCACTGTGGGAGATACATTTGGTCTTTTCAGCTCCTGTGTCATTGGTTTCTTTGTTTTAACACTACTACATTCGACCACCAGGACCTTCACTATCCCCAGCAAACAGCTGTGGGAATTCTCCAGCAGCAAGTCTCTCATCCACAAGCTGTTGACACCAAATGAAGCCTGAGATTGGAAGCTGCACTCTCCTTTGTTGCAAATGGGCTTTTCTGGAAATCCCCAAAGTATTTAACTTGTTTTCCTCTCTCAGAATAACTCGAGATGATTATGAGGCAGAAGAGGGAAGGCAAGACGGTCTGGCTGTGGGCTTTTCCTTCCTGGTGCTTGTTTACAAGTGAAAAAACAAACTCTTTTTTTTTAAGTATGTGTTGTTGTTAAGTGTCATTGAGTCCCAGGCAACTCACAACGACCCTATGAATGAAAGTCCTGGACACCTCCTGTGTAACATTCCTCCTTTCTCCAGGTTCAGAGGGTTTCCAGAGGCAGCTACTATGGAAGTGGATGCCACTCCTGCTTCCAAGCTTGTTTTAATTGGGGAGCTTCAACAAACACTGTCCACCATGGGTAGGTAACCATTCTTGCATTTGACTCATCAGTGTCACAGTGTTTGGCTTCACAGAAACCACGAGTTACCTCTGCACAGCAAGGACATAGCAGGGTTATACAACCTAGAAGAATGTTTCACCAAGAACAATTAAAGGCAGGCCTGAGGGCCACAGAGTAGAGTCACCCACCTTTGGCTTGGGAGCATGGCTTTCTGTCCGCTAGGCCAACTGCTCTCCCTTTCTATGCTGTTGGTGGTGGTGTTCTTTTTTCAAAAATATATTTTATCTATACTTTCTAGTATAGATAAAATATATTTTAAAAAAGAAATAAAATTTGTCTTACTGTAATTACTTTAGGGAGCTCTGCAGACATAGAATTGTACTGTCAACTGAAAGGAACACAGTTTGAATCAACCATATGCTTTGCAGGTGAAAGATAGTTTCCTCCCATGTGATTTACTGTTTCTGAAAACCCACTGGAGGGTCAGCTATGAGTCTGTTTTGATTTGAGAGTACATAACAACAATATAATTAGTTCACAGAATGGCTAGTTTTGTGCCTTTTTCTAATTTTATTTTGAAGAGAGGTGTTGGGTCTCCAAATTGTCCTCACATCAAGAAAAATGTAGGGCAGGTAACTTTTTTGAAGGCTGACAGTAATCCTGATGGTAAAATTTTATGTTAATTTTATAGCCTAAGACCAGCCAATTTCAATGATAATACTGTGACATAAACCAGAATGTTTGATCAAATCAATTTTATGTAATTGAGGTAAAAAAATAGAAAGCAAAAAGAGCACCATTCATGGGTAAACAGTCGGCCAAGCCAGTGCTGCTCCCACATGAGTTGGCCGCCTGTTCTCTGAACTTGCCTGGGAGCACAGTGACCTAAGCAAGTCTGAGAACCAAGCTATCAAGCACAGTCTGGCCCAAATTTGAGCACAAATATTGGTCATTTTTATTCCTCCTTTTCTCTCCCCCTTAAGGGAAAAAAAGCTATTTTTAGGTGAGAGAAAAGAAAACGTCTATGTCTGTTAGTATGAAACACTGTGGGGAAGTCTATATCCTGTCTGGGTCTAATCAAATCATAAGGATCAAATATAAGGGCCTCTTCTCCCTCACAGAATCACTATGCCCTGTCTCCTACACACTCACATAAGACAAGCCCTTCAGACTGGCTTCATACCACTACCTCGCAAACTGCAGGACTGCATGTAGGTTCCACATTTCAGGTTCATTTAAACTCTGTTCTGTTTAAGCATGCACTGTGTGGTTGGGCCATTCCCAGTTTCATGCGGAGGTCATTTTCTCCTCTGGCATTTGTTCATTTTGGTGATGACTAGGAGGGAATGTTTGTAAACATGCTTTCTTACTCTTTTTCATGTGTTCTAAAGCCAGAAGGGGGTGAGGATTCTATCTCTACCTTGTCTGCTGTCTGTAGCAAAATCTGTAGAGTGTGATCTGAAATAATTACTGCTCTTAAAAGAGCAAACACTCTAAAATCAAGTTTCTACTAAAAATTTCACACAACAAGATATCCTTTTATTAAAAAATTTCTTTTTCTCATTATCAAAGAAATACATGCTCATCTTACAAAATTTAGAAAAAATGGAAAGGTATACAAAAGAAAATAAACAGTGTCCATAATTCCACATCAAACAGAATGGATTACTCTGCAGGTTTTATTCTTTAAACATTAAACCTTAGCTCACTAAAAATCAAAGATTCAGACCACCTTCTTTCAAAGCACTCAAGTCTATTCCTACAACATATTTAAAAAAATAAAGAAAAAACTCAAACAGAATGAAATAAAATTTCTGTACAAAGTATTGTTTCCTACAAAAATTTCTCTTTTCCAAATTCCTATGAGTCAGAGACTCTAATACAGACTACCAAATGTTTATTGAAATAATACTAGAACAAAAAGAGAAGAAAGGGTAAGGGGCTATCGCCAGATTCCCCCCCGGCTCCTCACATTACTTGAGGCAGGGTGCCCACTTTTTTTCCGTCCCTGAGGCTTTTCAGTCTTAGGGACTGTAGCAAGGCGGCGAGGGACAGCCTGGGAGAGAATCTGAAAGTTGAAGAGAGAAAAAAAGTTGGTGTCATCTTCTCAATCCTCCAGCTCCACTGAGGAAAGACAGTACAGGGAGACAGCCAGATGCAATCAACAAAGGGAAAAGCACACACTACAGAAAATAGGAACAGGAATTGAAGGTGAGGCGCAAGAGAGGAAAAGTCAGGCAGGCACACAGAGCAGAAAGGACAGGTCAGTGAGGGTCCTTTCATTCCAAGCCCCTGCCCACTGTTCCCTCACCTCTTTCCGAGGGATCTCACCCAAGCGTGAGTCGGTGTTCCTTCGAGGGATATTATCCCCTTGGCCCTCAGCCCTGCCATATAAATCAAGGATGTTAGGGTGGAGTAGCTATTTTCCCCACTCTAATTAATTCTGGATGGAAGAATTTCTTCCCAATTCTGTCTCTTAAGAAGAATGTATTTGTCTCAGTTGCCTAAAACCCAGGTCTTCTAACTTGTAGCCCAGTGCTTTTTTTACTGCTCTACTATGTACTGTTGTTCTGTGGGAACAAGATGAGCAGTGTCCTCCTGTGTGATGTACAGCTTCTGAAAACCCACTGGATGGTCAGCTATGAGTTGATATTAACTAAAAAATAACAATAATTTCTAATTTTTTTTCTGGAATTGATGAAAAGGAGATGGCAGAAAGTGAGTTTATAAACGTCAGTTCAGTCAAAATGCAGGAGTCATATTTCATTATCTTATGGTGGTTTTTGCCATTGAAGACATCAGAAAGTTTGGATAACTCAGGAATGGATATCTACCCCAGATAGGTTTTACTGCTATTTCATAATTAAGTTCATAGTCAGGAATTTATTCTTAAGAGCTATTAGCATTGAGATGATGTGTCATTCTCTCAGCCAGGAGTCAGCAAACTCTTTTCTGTAAAGTGCTGGATATTTTAGACTTTGTGGTCTCTGTCTCAGCAGATCAATCTTGCTGGAGACAATATGTAAATGAATGGGCATGACTATTCCATGGAAACATCTTTTACACTAACATTTTAATTTCCTATCATTTCAGGTGTTACAAATCACTTATCTTCTGGTTTGTGGTTTGGGTTTGTTGTTTTTTTTCTTTAGCCATTAAAAAATTTGCACATCATTCTTGCTTTCAGGTCAGATAAAAATAGGCAGTTGGCTGGATTTGGCCCACTGACTGTTGTTTGCCCGTTCTTGTTCTTGGTTAAGAGTGTGTTACAATCAGTTGTAAAACAGTTTAATTAGTATGAAAATATCAAAGTTAGTGCATGATTTATTAGGATTTTTTTAAAAAAAATAAGTTGTAATCCAATTACTATCATCTCAGTGGCTTTCCCACATACTAATCTAATGTGTTTTCTGGAGTTGAGGAGGAAGAGATGATAATAAAACCAGAGGTGGGTGAGCAGCAGTATATTTAATCTAAGCTTCAACAATAGTGAGGGATTCTTCGTAATGCTAATTATCAGGTTTTAGAGGAATTTGTTTTCCTGTAGAAATTTTTTTAAGTTAAATCAAAATCTGCTATACTCACTGAAGTGTTTTATGCATGTGACGATAGCATCTACCAGTGTATGATAGAGACAAAGTATTTGAGAAACACTTCGCAGGCCAAATTTTGAGATGTGTATACTTTGCAGTGTATAAGTGTATTATATATTCTTATTCTTAAAACAGAACTGATGCTATTTAGTGAATGGTCTGGTTCTCAGTGTGTTTATATATATAATTTACATATATACATATATGTAGGTATGTATGTATACATGATGAAGTATGTGTGTTTATAAATGCCTGTATGTATGTGTGTATATATGTATAAACAGATGTACTGATACACACAACTATCTTTTGAAGGTCTTTGTCAAGGTTGTTTCTGCTTATGATTTCTTTAGTACTTTAAAACTTAAGACGTAAAACATACAGAGACAGACAAATCTACCATTAAGTTTATCGGGATATAGATTGTAGAATGAACTCTTGGATTCTTTATTAGTCCATGTCTCTTCCATTTAACCATATGAATTGGTCAAACATATAAAGTATCACAGTTGAATTTCATTTCCCTATGTTGTTAGTTAAGAAACTAAGACTAGTTAAGTTAATTAATTGCCATATTGATACAGTCTATACACATTATTTGTTTAAGTTCCTTATTCCTCTGTCAGTTATTTAAGTTCAAGTTGAATGTTACTTGTTTTCTGTTTAATAGATGACTTGAGTAGAAATTCCTTTATACTAAGATAGTAGCGATGCTGATATGAGTAGAAAGTAAAAATTAAGTGAATAATTTTTTTTTACTTAGAATATACTGATGCTTGGTTGATGTTTTCAGTTTTCCCTTGGATATTTGCTGTTAGGCAGACAGTCACTGAGTTTGATGTTTTTGGAGATGTGCAATCCTGTAGGGTTATGGAGTGCTGCAGTGGTTGTAGCGTTGATCCAGGTCACTAGAACAGGTACCTTTTCATCAGCCAGAATGCCCTGGCACCTGGAAGAGTGAATGCAGCTTCTCCACATGCCTTATTCCCACAGACGTGCTGACATGCTGGAACAGTCTGGCTCCACCAGTATTAATACACTTTTTTGAGACTGTATGCAAAATACTATTTTGTAAAACTATGCCTTTAAATAGACATTTATGGGTTATATTTCTTTTATAATAATTGTGCACTGAATATTCAATTGTGATGGATTTTGAGATTTATGTATATTTATAAGTCTGTTCTATGTGAATTTTTATTCTTAAGATGTATGGTACATTACTAATAACAACATGGGTTTCTATTTATGTAAAGTATATGTAGCAATATTCCTAGATACTACCCAAATTATTGTTTTGTCCATCTGCCATTATAAAGACTTTTATCTTTAGAGGATTATGTTATAGCCAGACTATGTTAGCTATATTTGAACTTTAATATATAAATTCTCAATATGGTTTGAAATTCTTCCAGTTGATGAAATTAAAGTTAGTTTATAATTAAAAAAAAAAAAGAATAAGAGCTATTTCCTTTGTGGGAAAAAAAAAATTAAAAGAAAAAAAATAAGAGCAAACAATATACACCTAGGGATGAAGTAGGAGAAGACATAAGTAGAATCAGATAATGAGTTGTACTAGATAATTCAAATACTGGGATTCTGGATTACAAGATGAAGAGGGGGGAAAAACCCGAGGTAGAAGACAGAGAAAATAGAATTTTTTTTTCTTAAACCAATAGAGTATTATTTAGCCACAAAGAGGAATGAAATTTTATATTTTGATCAGAGATTCTATAGAATTCTGGTCAAAATGGGGAAATACAGAAGAGAATTTCAAATTCTCACAGACTCCAGATTTTCTGGATGAACATTTAAAACTATTGCCCTGAGATAATCTTTAAAGCTTAAACAAAAAATATCCCTGAGGTCTTCTGAGAATTAAATAATAGTTTAGCTTGACTAATAAAGAGAGTCTGTCTTAAGTGCTGTATTCTTTCTACATGGTATATATCTATATGGGATCAATTACACAACAACTCAAAAATATGAGGCAGAAATTTAAAGGAAAAAGAGTTTATGTTAATGAGGGGTATTCAGAAAGTGAGGGTAAAAATAGTTCACAACCCAGAGAACATAATCAATATCATTGAATTGTGTATGGAGAAGCTGATGAAGTGGTATATGCTTTGCTGCGTATATTCTCAAAAATAAAACTTTTTTTTTAAAAAAAGAAATGAAGTGGTGTGAAAAACAATGTGTACAAACTTTAAGAACTTTGAAAGTAAAGCAGTATAAAATGAAAAAAAAAAAAAAGAATGAAGTTCTGACACATGTTACAACTTGGGTGAACCTTGAAAACTATGTTAAGAGAAGGAAGTCAGATGTAAAAGGTCACGAGTTGTATAATTCTGGTTATAGGAAACATCCAGGAAGGCAAATCCAAAGGGAGAAAGAACGCAGGTACAAGTGGCTACCAGTGACTGAGGGAAAAGGGCAGTGAGGAGCAAAGCTTGAAGTTTTATTTGGGAGTGATGAAAGTGTTTAGGAACTGGATAGCAATAGTAGTTATACAACACTGTGAATGAACTAAATGTCAGTGAATTGTTCACTTTAAATTATTTTATTATATGCTACATGACTTGCCTCCACTTAAAGGGAAAAAAAGGCAGAGGAAGCTATGGAGCAGCAAGAGACACAGAAGAACCTTGATCTATCTCACTCCTTCCTCTGCCCTCCATAATCAAAGGGATCTACCCAGTGAACAACACACTCCACTCCTCCTTGGCTGATCTAACCTGTGAACAATTCAATTCAACCCACTCCACCACTCCACTACTCCCTGGCTGATCCATTTACCCTCCCACAACCCAGATGCCATTCTTCTGACCCTTCCTGCCCGCTCCCCAGCTTGTACCTGCTGTGCTCCACCCTCTTCAGGTAGAGCAGCAGATCCTCAGCAGACAGTGTCCCCCAGCCCCGGGCTTGGTATAGTTGCAGTAGTTGAGACATCTCCACCAGCTGCTTAGGTGACGGCAGCCCATCTCCACCTGACAGACACATAAACAATGGTCATCATCCTAGGGCACTTCTAACAGACCTCATCCTGTCTCCACAGACCTCATTCTGTCTCCCTAGGAATCGCAAAGGGACTGAGGTCCCAGATACTGATTCACACCTAATTGTTGCTTACCTCCCTCTGGGGAGCCACCACTGGGATCACTGCTCTGTGAATGTGTTGGTGGAAACTCAGGTACCCGAAAAAGACTGGACACCACGGCTAAGGGAACTTTGGTTTTATGGACAGGGGGTGGAAGGCGTGGCACTGGAGGTGCTTCCTCCCAAGATGGGACAGGTAGAGGACCTAGCAAAAGGAAACATTAAAAAATGAGGCAAATGAAAAAATAAATAAATAAATAAATAAAAATTTAAAAAAAAATTAGGCAAATGGAGCCTTGCCTCCTAACATTTCTTAGGCTTTACTACTTTTTTCCACTTCTGAAAATTATCTAGATGTTCAATTCCCATGTTATCTAGGCCCAAACCACAATATTCTTCTGAGTTGGAACTCACCAGACTTGGGGGGCAATAAGTCAAGAGAAGTATTGTCACTGTTGTGGGGTACTGTCTCCAGCAACTGAAAAAACAAAATTATAAAGTGCCATATGTGGTGGTGGTATTGTTATGTGCCACTGAGTCACCTGTGACTCATAGTGACCTTATGTACAACAGCCCTAAACCCTGCTCTATCCTGTGCCAATATTATTGTCTCTGACACACCTACTCCCATTATCCCAGTCACTGAATCAATCCATCTCATTGAGGGTCTTCCTCTCTTGTGCTGTCCCTCCAGCTTCCCAAGCACGATGTCCCTCTCCAAGGACTAGTCCCTCCTTGCAACATGTCCAAAGTATGTCAGATCCTTGCCTCCAAGGAGCAGCCTGGTCTCACCATCTCTAGAATGAACCTGTTTGTTCTCCTAGAAGTCCATGGTATATATTCAATACTCTTCTAGAGCACCAAATCTCAAAAGTATCAATTCTTCTATCATCCCTAGTCATTGTCCAGCTCTCTGATACATAGCCAAGTAATTGCAAAGACCATGGCCTTTATCAGGTGCACCTTAGTCTCCAGACTGACATCCCTGCTCTTCAGTACTTTGGAGAGGTCTCAGACAACAGATTTTCCCATTGCACTGAGTCTTTTAATTTCCTGGATGCTGGTAGGTACCAAGAGTGTTGACTGTGGAGCCAAGCAAACTAAAGCTTTAACAATCTCAATCTCTTCACCATCTATCATGATGCGGCCCAGTGGTGAGAATCTTTGTTTTCCTGATGTTGAGTTTCTATCTATCTTGAAGGCTGCAGTCCTTGACCTTCTCCAACAAGTGCTTTAGGTAGGTCCTGTTTCAGCAAGCAGGGTTTTGTCATCTGCATAACACAGATTGTTCATGAGTCTTCCTTCAATCCTGATGCCATATTTCTCTTCATTGAGCCCAGACTCCCAGATTATCTGTTCTGCACACAGATTGTAAAGGTAGGGAGATAGGACACATCCCTGGCATACACCTTTCCCAATTTTGAACTATGTAGTGTTTCCTTGCTCTGTTCTGACAATTGCCTCCTGGTCCAAGAATAGGTTTCGCATAAGCATGATCAAGTGTTCTGGGATTCCCATTCTTCTCAGAGTTAGCCACAGTTTGTTATGATCCACACAGTCAAATGCCTTTGCATAGTCAATGAAACACAGATACTCATTGCAAATATATTTTATAATAAACAGAAACACAAGCTATCCATATGGATTTCACCTGATGGTGTGCACAGGAATCAGATCAATTACATTTGTGGAAAAAGTAGCTGGAGAAGCTCAATATCAGCTGTGAAAACTAAGCCAGGTGCTGACTGTGGAACAGACCACCAACTCATATGCAAGTTCCCAAAAGGACTGATAAATAAGGAGAGCCAGGTACCTAAGGGAAGCAAAGACTGGTGTAGTTAGAGCCTCACCAGTTAAGAGTTAGGATTAATGACATAGGTTCTATAAGGGAATTCTGGAAGAATATCAGATAGAATACTGTCAGTACAAATTATTAGTCTTAGAAAAGGAAATGAAGCCAGAGTTCTATACTTCTAGAGCAGAAAGAGGGACGTTAAAAGGATGGTTTGTACATCTACACCAATGTTCACAGCAGCATTATTCACTATCCCAAGAACATGAAAACAGCCCAAATGACCAACCGCAAATGAATGGTTTGAGAAATTATGGTACATTCACAAGACAGAATACTACACAGCACATAGGAACAATGATTTTGTACTTCACTACCTAACTTGGGTGGGGGGAACTGGAGAGCATTATGCTAAGTGAACTCACTCACTTGCATAAGGACAAATACTGTATAAGACCATTATTGTAGGAGGCTCCAAGGAGAGGGGAGCAGAAGGGTGAGGATGGGTGGGGGGCATAATCATAGGATCACACAATTTGATGGGTGGAGGGAGGGATGGGTTAAGGAAATGGGAAAGATTCAGTGTGAAAAACAATGTACACAAGCTTTGTAGTTACCAGTATAAAATAAAAATAATAATTAGAAAAAAAGGATGGCTTGTGTGGATCTTCCCTTACCTGCTGCAAAAAATGCTTGAAGCCATCCAGCTGAGGGGAGGGCGGCAGACCTTGCTTTAGGAAGCCATCTCCATGGATTCTAGGATCTTCCTCAGGGAATGGCCGTTCTGCCCTGTGATCAAGATCAAAGGCCCCAACTGCAAAGGAAAATGTTCCAGTATAAATTGAGATAGGTCAGAGTATGTGTTTGTTACTCCACAAATGCATTCACTACATGCCCAGAAAAACAAGTCCACTGCATCGAATAGACACATCACATCTAAGAGATGGAAACAGTGAAAGGTTAAAAGAGCTGGGAAGGGATGAGCTGAAGGAGAGTGGCAGCTGCATTCTAAGACAGAAGTTAGACAGAGGGAGGGAAAGCCATGATAATCAGATCTGAATAAACACCACCATAAACTCTTTAAAGAACAGAAACCTATATTCAGAATATTTTAGAGTTAAAAGATACATTTTTTATCTTCCATTAAAATAGGCTCTTATCTTTTAAAAGAATTAGTACATAATTTAAAATTTTTAAATTGTCATAGAATTCTTCTTTTAGACTTACTTTCATATTGATAGTCATATATCAATCATACAAAACATATCTCCAATCCATCCATGCCCAAACTTATTAAACCAGGATGAGTCAATCCAACAGATGGTTACCAACACATCTGACTGCCTCTTTCAATGAGATTTTAGAAACAGACACCAATGTCTCAATAAGGTTTCACAGCCATGGATGAAGTCAGTGTCCTAGCTGGCTAAACCTATGTGATGCAAGGGATCAAACTCCCAGAGCAAGTGGAGAATGCTGATCCACCACAAGGAAGGAGGAATGTGCAGGGAAGGACAGTCCAAAGAAGAGCACCTAAGTCCGAAGAGAAAAAACTCCCATTACTGATTCTACTTCTCATTAAGTTCAATTGCATCACATATTTCCATGCAGTCTCACTCCCTTTATTCAAACTACCTTGAATCAGTATCTGTTTCTTGCAATCTATGATAACTAGGATGTATCTGGGACACTAAAAGCTCAAGCTCCAGACAGAAAGGAAGAAAGGAAGGTAGGTGAGAGGGAGCCAATTAGTGGATCTAAGGTGAACCCCAAGGACTTCTGTCCTCAGTCACCTGTAGAGGTGGTAAGATCTGGCTTTGGCTCTAGGGGCTGGAAGGAATGTTGGCTTTGGAAATTGGGACCCAAAAGAAGGCTAAGATCCGAGGAAGAGCTGCAGAGAACAGGTGGCACCCTGGGCAGTTCTTCCTTTGTCTCCCGGCTTTGCTGAAGTACAGGCTTCAGGGCCACAGCCACAGGAGGCACAGTCCACATCGTCCTCTCCTCCTGCTCTGGTTCCTGAGGCCTGGGGCTGGAGGGGCCAGTGGTCGGAACCTGTGCAGACAAAAAGAAGAAGGGGCCAGTCAATGGACCAAATCAGATAAAGGTATCATGAGAAAAGAAAATTAGGCCAACCTCTCTTTATCAGTACAGATGAAAAAATCCTCAACAAAATACTAACACTCTTAATCCAGTAATATATTAAAATTACAGTCAAAGTGATATCAATGCCAGGAATGCAACATAAGAAAATTAACCAATAAACATACTGATAGAACAAAGGAAAAACTACACTCTCATCTCAATTCACAAAGCAATGATTTCTGACAAAATTCAACACCCTCTCATGATTTAAAAAAACAACCCACCACTCATGCAAAAAATTAGGAATAGAAGGGAACTGCCTCACTATGATAAAAAGCATTTATGAAAACCCCCAGTTAACTCACATTCAGTGGTCAAAGATCAAAAGTTTTCCCCTTAGAATCAGGAAGAGAAATGGGATGTCTGCTTTTATCACTGCTTGGGAACTTCGTACTGGGAGTTTAAGACAGACAATTTGGTAAGAAAATGAAGTAAAGTCATTTAGAGTAAAAAGAAGGAAATAAAATTAATTCTATTAGTAAAAACCATGATTCTCTGCATGTGTACACATACACACATAACCCTAAAATAAAATACACCCACAGAAACTTTAGAACTAATAAATAGATCTGCAAAGTTGCAAGGTACAATGTAAACACATAAAAATCAGTTATGAGGAAATAAATCAGTTACACTTCTATATAATAGCAATAAATAATATAAAAAGGAAACTAAGAAAATATTTCATTTATAATAGCCCCAAAAGGATAAAATAGTTGTTGAAAGGTGCTATCAAGCACAACCCACTGTAACCCTATGAACAACAGATCTGAACCCTGTCCTCTCCATGCCATCCTCACAATCTCGGTTATACTTAAGCCCATTATTGTAATCACTGTGTCAATCCATCTGGATGAAGGTCTTCCTCTCTTTTGCTGACCCTCCACTTTTTCAACATGATATCCCTCTCCAAGGAACAGCCTCTCTTAGCAATATGTCCAAAGTATGTGAGACAAAGTTTTATCACCTTTTCATCCAAGTCGCACTCTGACTTACATCTCCAAGATATATCTATTTGTTCTTTTGGCAATTCATGGGATATTCAGTACTCTTCTCCAACACCACAGCTCAAAGACATCAATTCTTCTGTCACCTTTACTCAATGTCAAGCTCTCAGATGCATAGCAGGTTACTGAAAAGATCATGGCCTGAATGAAGTACACCTTAGTCTTCAAACTGACATCATTGCTCCTCAGTAATTTGAAATGGTTCTTGACTACAGATTTTCCCAGCACAAGACATGGCCTGATCTACTGACTTCTAGTACAATGATATTGATTATGAATCCAAGTAAGATGAAGTTATTGACAGTTTCAATCTTTTCTCCATTTATCATGAAGTTGCCTATTAATCTCTGATGGCCTAGTGGTAAGGAGCTGCAATGTCATTGCAAAGGCATGTGGTTCAAATCCACCAGCTGCTCTGTGGGAAAAGATGGGACAATATTATCCAGTGTAATTTCCCACCTCTGAAAACCCACTGGAGGATCAGCTATAGGTCAGTTCCAACTTGATGGTACATAATAACTAAAGAACACAATACTTAAAAATAAATATAACAAAGGAGGTGAAATATTTGTACAATGAAAAGTATAAAATAATGCTTAAATTATAAGGGGAACTGCATAAATGGAAAGGCATTCTCTGTTCAAAGATTGGAAGACTTAATATTATTTAGCTGTAAGTAATACTCTAAGCAATCTACAGGCTCTAAACCCTACAGTTTTGGGGGCTTTTCTCTCCAGAAACGGAAAACTTGATCTCAAATTCACATTGCTTTGACCCCAAGTAGCCAAAACAATCTTGAAAAAGATGACTAAAATTTACAAACTCTGCCTTTTTACTTTTATAAAATATACTAAGAAGCTATTACAATACAAGTGAGACACTTATATACAGACACACAGACTACCAAATAGAATAAAGACTTCTGAAACACACAGAGCCAAGAGTTGAGAGAATGAACCAGACTCTCAAAAGAACTCTTGCCAAATTGTGCTAACTGGCCAAGGGGCCATGAGTGTCACTGCTGTCCGCTGTCTTTCTAGAAATCAGAGTAGCACCAGAACCACAACTTGGGGCTTAGTCCCTGTAAGATATTAACTATGAGGCCCTTCTTAACCACTGATTTGTTGAGCAAAACAACTCTCTCAAGTTATTTTATTTATCATGAACCAGTATGGGAGACAATAAAGACTTGGCAACAAGGTACTGCTAGCACCTGTGGGCAAAGAAACAACTCCTATAGGGCCAGGAGACCAAGGTTGTCTGAAAGCTTGGGAGAGGAGTCACTAAAAGGTCAACTTAATGAAGGCTGAGTAGATCCTTCCAACCTATTTTGGTAACCCCTCAAAGCCAGTAATTTAAAGAAATAGTGGATCTGTGGATACACATTTCCAGATAAGGAATAATATTCTGCTAAGAGTGCAGACTGTTCACTGATCAAGCCATCAGTCAAATAATTCTAAATTAACATACATGGCAATATCATTCAGACACAGAAATATACCAAGTATAATAAACAAAATTGGGAAGGGTGTACGCCAAGGATATGTCCTATCTCCATACCTTTTCAACCTGTATGCAGAGCAGATTATCCGAGAGGCTGGGCTCTATGAGGAGAAGCGTGGCGTTAGGATTGGTGGAAGATCTATCAACAATCTGCGTTATGCAGATGACACA